GTAAGACAGAGTACATGTCTGTGAATGAGAGGGAGGACAGTGGAACAATGAGGTCACAAAGGTGCAGGACTTCAAGTACTTGGGGTCCATTGTCAGAGTCAGAGTCAGAGTTTCTTTATTGTCATTCGCACCTCATGGGGTACATGTGGTGGAGCGAAATTATGTACACAAGGTCCCAGTTACATCCAACAATAAAATGTCTAAGAAAAACAGTAATAACATCTAAGATATGAACTAAGAAAAACATCAACTAAATATACACTAAGCACTCATAACATAAAAACATTGAACATCAGCACAAACATGAACATGAGTCTGTGAGCAGATGTGCACGCATGAACACATCAACATTTAAACAGATCAGCAGCAACATGAAACAGATCAGCAGCAACATGATATGGTTTTTCACAGTGATTATTCTAGTTAGAGATTCATGAGTCTAACAGCCTCAGGGTAGAAGCTGTTCCTCAGTCTAGTGGTTCTACACTTAATGCTCCTTAACCTCCTTCCTGAGGGGAGTGGGGCAAAAAGTGTGTGTGCTGGGTGAGTGGGGTCCTTCATGATGCAGGTGGCCCTCTTCCTGCATCTGGAGGTGTAGATGTCTGTGATGTTGGGGAGGCTGATTCCGACAGATTTCTGTGCAGCCTTCACCACTCTCTGCAAAGCTTTCCTTTCTGCAGCTGTGCAGCCTCCATGCCACACATTGATGCTCGAGCACAGGATGCTCTCCACTGCACACCTGTAGAAGGAGGTGAGGACTGAGCTTGTCCAAGTAAATGAGGAGTTTGGTGAAGAAGAAAGTGAAAAAGAGAGTCCAGGCAGGATGGAGTGGAATGGAGAAAAGTTTCAGGAGTGATTTGTGACAAAAGGGTGTCTGCAAAGGTCAAAGGAAAAGTTTACAAGACAGTGGTGAGGCCAGCTATGTTGTATGGTCTGGAGACAGTGGCAGTGACAAAAAGACAGGAGAAAGAACTGGAAGTGGCAGAAATGAAGATGTTGAGGTTCTTCTTAGGAGTGACAAGGATGGAGAAGATTAGGAATGAGATCATCAGAGGTACAACACAGGTTGAACAACTGGGAGATAAAGTTAGAGGCCAGACTGAGGTGGTTTGGACATGTCCAGAGGAGGGACAGTGGTAAAAGAATGTTAGAAGTGCAGCTGCCAGGAAAAAGACAAACAGAAGATATATGGATTCAGTTAGAGAGGACATGGAGGTAGTTGGAGTGAGGACAGAGGATGCAGAGGACAGAGTGAGATGGAGGAGGATGACTTGCTGTGGCGACTCCTGAAGAGGGACAAGCCCAAAGAAGAAGAAGAAGATTAATTGTGACAGCTATCTTGAATGTGGGGAACAAAAAATCTTGAATGTGTTTACCGCAATTTCAAAAGCTGTTCAGCTGTAGCTGTGCATCCAGCGATTATTCTCGACGTTTCATTAAAATCTGTGCCGCGATTCATTTAAATATTTTGTTAACAGACAGAGTTGAGATTTATCAGTTCCATCCATCCATCCATTATCTTTACTCGCTTCTTTCTTTTTGGGTCGCGGGGATCACTGGTGCCCATGTCCAGCAGTCACTGTGCGAGACGCAGGGGACACCCTGGACAAGTCACAAGTTCATCACAGGGACACATAGAGACAAACAACCATTCACTCTCTCATTCACAC